CGTTGATTGAGAAAAGACGAAAAGTTCGGGGGTTATTGGGGTCGTTGATTACGAATCTGAAGTCAGATTTTCAGAAATCAAAATGGCGTTTCAAGTGAATCCGTTAAATTTTTAAAAATTTGTTCGCCATATTGGATCCGCCATTATGAATTTTTGAAAACTAATAGCAGATTCGTAATCAGCGACTCCAAAAGCTCCCGAGTAACAAGTTTCAAGTAAATGTGATGAGTTTTTATATTTTTCTCAAGCATCTCAAAAGGTGGTCGATATATCGACCACTGGACATGAATTTTTAATTTTTGGGCCGTAAAGTCCGTATTTTGAAATACTTTGACTGGTTCGAGCTCTGGACAAGACCAGAGTTCCTGAGGTTGAGAAAGACGTTGGACGCAAGCAACCCTTGAAGAAACGTATGACTAATTCCATTAGCATGATCGGGTGGTAAATCCTTGATGTCGTAATCGCAAAGTTGAGGCGCAGAGGTGGGTCTGAGTAGCGTGCATCGCGTGAAGGTGAGGTGAGGTAAAGCAAAGGGTGCGGCCAGACTGAGCTCGACTCCACCTCATTACCCGGCATTCTATGCAGAAAAGACTGCGCTTATGGCTTATTATTGCTTAGCTCAGCTCACCTCGCTCTGAGCGTCCTTACAAGTATTACTTTAGTGCACAACATACACCAATATAAAACAATATAAACGTTAAACGTACCAGATCCACACCCTCTCTTATTTTCCATGTACGCGCAATTATCGAGATCTTGTCTTCGCCTGCATTGCTGCGATACCTTTTTATCAGTTATATTGTTGCAGAAAATCACTTTTTTCATTTTCCCGCGCAAGGTCCAAGAAAAAGATTCCTGTGTACCTATTATAAGCAAACGTCGACTCTTGAACAATGTGAGCAGATGTTCTTTGGGATCGTTTATTGACTCCAATTATTGATACTTGGTAATTGGGCTATTAAACGCAATTTCATTGTCGAGCTAAGTGAAAAACAGGTGTTCCAGCTTACAAACATACAAATGCATTCATTATTGTGCTGACAAGTTGGATACGTATTCATTCCATCCACAACGAAAATAGTGTTAAAATCACTATTCGATTGGTTTCATTTTTAGAATTCTGAATTTTCCTATCTTTTTTGTTACCACGAATTCTAATACAAAACCTTCAATTTTTTCTACTTCTGACAAGAAAACTATGGGTCATTATTTAAAGAATCATATTCCTTAAATATTTCAAAATTCATTAACAATTCTTAATTTATTTTCCCCATTCATTAAAATATCGGAAATGTTCATAAAGCAGAAAAATAATTCTCAAAGAAGAGGAGAGAGAAAATATAAAGTAAAGTACTTTGAAAAATCGAGGAATGCGATCTCGTTCCCTTTTCTGTTCCTGTTTTTTTTTCTTTCTGTTTTGAGATGCAGCACGATAGTCTCTAATTTTACGGACCGCGCAAAGTAACCGGGCCGTCGCCTCGGTCGAAGTAGAGTGGACCGGAAATGGGGTGAAGCGAGATCTTGTGTCGCGATTTCCGGCACGCCCCGAGAGCCACAACCGCTCCTCGAACAAGAGACTCAATAGTAATTAGCTGCGGCTAAAAATTAAAATCAAAACGAGCACTCTCCGAGACTCTCAGTGTGACGACAATAATGCATCGGAGGTGGAGAGATAATAATTTTTGGTTTCGTTAAGATTCAAAAAGAGAAAGTTATTATATTCTCTCTTGACAATGCGATTGTGACTATAGACGCTAAAGTGCCGGTCCCAATTCGACACAAGAAACAAGGTCAGTTTTTGAAATAAATATATCATCGATTCTCCGTAAGAATAAGATAGTGTCTTATAATTAGCTTTATGTTATTTAAACATAAATTATCATTTATCAAAATTTGAAAAGCAATTGCCAACTCGAGATTAAATTTCTTTTGCAGCATTTTATTTTATTTGTTTAAACAATTAAAAATACTATTCCTTTGTTTTTGGACGTCTCAAAAAGTTCTGAGCTATTTTCGATAAAATTTTAACCCTGAGTTTTCCAATGTTAATGGGTATTCCTTTAAAGACGAGTTAACGGTTGCGGTACAGGAATGATTAATAAAGATGCACGGACACGCATGTCACCGGATACAAGGCCCACACAAACGATCGACTCGATGTTCCTCTCTAGAGCTTCCACTTGAATACGCGAATCGCAAAAATCAAGAGAACAAAATATTCGCCACCGCCACTTGATTTTTGACGTCCGCAACGCTTTAATCCATCAAGAATTAAAATAATCCATCGACGGATTAATTTTTTCAAAATGATCTATAAATGATTCGGTTTTGACTTGGACATTTTTTTCAAGGAAAAAATTGATTCCAAAGTGAATTTATTTAATCTTTTTTGGTGTTAATTTAAGCTGCAACTTTATTTTTGTTTTCCGGAGAATGCCAAACGTAAAAAAAAGTTAAAATAATTGAACCGCCAGCGACCAAAAGGGCTTACGCGTCACTTTCATTGGCCCGCGCTCAGTGAGTCACCGGCGGTTCAACTTTTAAGTCGCAATATTAAATGGCATTTGACTTAAATACTAAAATTATTGTTTCAAATAAATTTATTGAACTTAAATAAAATTCATTTGATTCATAAGTAAATATGTATTTGATAATAGACAAGTAATCGGTTATTTGAATCAAATAAATTTTTTTTCCTAACGTATCATTCTCTGCAATGTTCTAGTATTAAATTACATCTTTAGAATACAATAAAGAAATGAATAGACGCATTCGAAATACATATGTTGGATGTTTGCAAAAAATAAAATAAAATAGAGAAAATTATGAGGATGAGATAGCGCGAAGAAAATAAGAGGGAAAAAATGATGATAGAGTGGGAGGTGGGGTGGAGGGCGTTTTACTTGATGCGCATAGTAATCGGGTCCCGTCATGCCAATAACGGCGGCAACGCACGATCTATAATATCCCATCGATAAGTCGCGCTTTTCCCAATAAGGCACGAAAGGAGGGTCTCAGATCCATAAAATTCGAAAAAACAATTCTTACAATTATTCTCGTATTTTTAACTCACCACTCATTCAAAATTATATCAAATCGTAATTTAAAAGACCAAAAACAGTTTCTTTAAATTTTGCAATAAATAATTGAACCGCCGGCGACTAAAAGGGCTTACGCGTAACTTTCGTTGGCCCCGCGTTCAACGAGCCTCCTCTATTCGAGGGGCCAACGAAAACCTCGCGATGGCGGTTTAATTTTTCCCATAAAAATAGTAAAAATAACCAATTAAATACCAAAAATTGATTATAACTATTAGTAAAGTTAATTATACGAAATTAAAATTTTTATTAGCACCGAAAAAATATGCCAAGTTGCAGCTCCTAATGTAACGAAAACCTAATAAAAAAAAACACACTTACGGTCTTGAGGACTAATTATAATCCAGTTTTTTTCATTAACAATAATTTTTCTGGGAAATAACAACTGAATACAATGATAATTTTTTTAATAACATTCAAGTTTGTATTATATAGCGCTGCGCTGGGGTGATGTACGAAACGGAAAACATGATTAGAATCGAGTTTCAACGTGGGAAAAGAAAGTGCATCAGAAAACTGTATGTGTGCATTAATTAAGACGCGAAATTATGAAATATTTATACATGATTTTATTGATATCAAAGTGTAACTAGACGCGGATATTGTACCTCATACCAGAAGAGGTTCATAATTTACGCGGTGGTATAATGACGGTAATTCAGAGACTTGATTACCGGTAATTGCCAAATTACAAACTACGGTACATTTAACGGGACCGAGCCACATTTCTCAAATAATTATCCTTAGACTTGTTTTCGTGTTAAACAATCAAATAATAGTCACCAGGCATTCTATCAGGTAGGCAAAATTTGGACGTCTTTTTAAAATTGCAGCGCGAAAAATATTGAGCGGCAAATTTGATATTCATTTCAGCTTTGAGAATTTAATTTCCTTTTGTGCGGAAAAATATATTTTGTGACTTATTTTGACAGAATTTTCTTATGAATTCGAAAAATTTAATTTTTCCTAAAAATCCCTGACTTACCTAACCTATGGCAACGCTGTTGTGGTCAGTAATCGTTGCGGTCGACGATTGTCGATAATAATTCAAGGTACACTCGACCGGTAGCGCCGATAACGATAACGATAACGAGGTGTTGACAAGGACCTACACTCGACGCTCGATAACAAAAGATCGAGGAGAACGGGCACTACCTTTGTATTTTCCTAAACGGCCTCGGGAAAAATTAAAACAAAACTAAAATTTTTAATTTCGCGTAGGCAGAATCGCCGAAAACGCGTTTCCTCATTAAATTAATTTCCGGACTTGAGGAAAATAAAAAGAAAATTACGTTCAATTAACATTTTTAGGTTGTGAAACTACTTCTCACTTCCTGGCATAGGCGTTAGGCAAAAAAGAAAAAAGTGGTGTCGCGCGAAAGTCGGAGCATCGTAGGAAAAATTTCTTCTCTTACTATAAATGGACGACAATTCACGCGGGAGCGTTTTAATTATTAAACGTGTAACACATCCGTTATTTTTATGCCAACTTTCTTATTTCCCCCTGAATCTAGATTTTAATCATCGGCACTTACAAAAGTGTTGATGAAAATTAAAACCAGTTTTTTAGTCCAATTACGCGGTTGATGTATGGAATCGAAGGAGATTTCAGGAAAAAGCTCACTTCTTGATTGGACGATAATTCCACGGGGAAATGTCAATTAAATGGTACGTTTTTAGGAATTTTAAACACAAGTGAGATAATTTGCCTAGATTCGGCAAGTGAGACTGAGTCCACTTGCTACCAGGACAAACTATATGCTTTCTGTTACTTCCAAACCAATCATTATTAATGTTACCGAAAAGATCGTGAAAACACGTTTCCGACAGTGTTTCAGAGAAAAGTTTCAGCAACTATCTACTATAAATCGATGAAATTTATTGCAGTTTAGATTGACTTACCGAGCATTTTGCTGAGATCGGCATTGTGAAGATCGGGATTCTCGTCAGCCAATTTCTTGCGCTCGACCTTTGCCCAGACCATGAAGGCGTTCATCGGTCGTCGAATGCGCTGCTCCTTCAGACTTCTTTGAGCGGAATTGCCAGGATGGCACATTTTAACGCCAGCTGGCATTGCCGAAATGCCCTGCTGGTAATCCAGCGACGTCCCGGACGCCAGCCAAGACATGTCGTCTAATCTCTGCTGTCCTGGCCCGCTCAGCATGCCTGGAATCTGATCCACCAAAAATTCAGTAAAAAGATTTGATACATTTTCTATAAACTTTGTCTTTCTTGTTTGGCTATCTAATGATTATTGTTTCCTTTTGGTGTGTTTCCATAATCACTACTTACAAAAAACGGATTCAATTTACTGAACTAACTTCTGATTAATGACACTGATTTTTTATTAGAAAAGAACAAGACAGTGAACACTAAAGAACTGTTCCATAACTGTTACGGATATTGAACGAATCTGTAACAGTGATGGAACAGTTTTTTGGTGTTCACTGGGAATGAACAAAAAACGCAACACAATCTTATGGACTAATTACAAATCAGTTATGTTTACATGACTTATTACATTTACATGACTGAAGTAGATCTAAAAATGTATTTATTTCTTACTATTCCAAAGGCGAATAGTAAAAGAAGCAAGTAATAAATCTTCGTTGCCTTGAACTATATCAAGGATATTGAACATCAATAGAAAGCTGTTCCCTAATTAAAAATAAAAGCCCTTTGATAAATGGTATCATGTCAGAGCTAATTATCTATTTAAGCAGTCCTAGTTATGCCGTGAATTGCGACATTTGCCAACAGTTGCGATTAGTCGTTATCATGTCCAATGAAAGTCGACACCTGACAGCCTTATCAAATGTCGCAATCTAGGCCTGTACTCGATTAAGCAATGGATGTTCTATCGATCCTCGTTTTCAATAATGAATCCTGTATAGAGAAGCACCATGTTACAGACGAGATGTCCTTAACCAAGTTTCTATTTTTCTTTGTTGCTATACAAGAATCGTTGGCAAAACCCTGGCTAAAGACACCAACGTCTTAAACCTGATAAAATCATGGCTAAAGACACCATTTTTTTAGCACTGAAGAAAACATGGCTAAAGTTGTTATAGTCTCTTCAAAAATATGATTTCTTTTCCAAGGCAAAACCCTGGCTAAAGACAACATTTTATCAACAGAGACAAAACCATAGCTAAAGTAGTAATTCTATTAGGATTTCTTTTCCAAGAAAAAATCCTAACAATTTTAAAATAAAAAATACTAAATTTTAAATTCATTTAATATTTGACTACCAACAGACAAAAGTGTCCAATTTCGGGTACAATCCTCAGCGAAGAAATGAATCCAACCCGAAGCATAATGATTACGCAATTAGTTTGTGTGGAGCGACTTTTCAGCATTATCATGCTTGATAGAAACTTAGAAACTTGTTTAGAATCAGAGAAAGAGAGAGGAAAGGAGAGTGGGAGGTGGCGGTGGATGAAGAGCTGAGGGAATCGGAGAAGAGATGAGCGTGGAAGTAAACGTGCAGAGGTTGATCATCCTCTCAACTCGAATTATCTGGGACCTCTTTTATCGTGCGATTGACGCCGGCATATTCCTCGTCGTACTTGTTTTGCAATTCAAGTTATTGCGCTTACCGGTATAATCTGAGTGTCGATCGGCATTGAGCCCTCGCTACCATCGATGTTAGAATCGATGTCAAACGCTCGAGAAGTTGGCGTCGCATAGAGAGAGGAGTGCAGTGCCAAAAGTCCTGGTGTACTTCCGTAACTACTGACCGGTGGCGGTGTCACTTCCCCCCGTTCATAATTATCCAGCATCCTGAAAAAGATTTCAATTTAAAACACTCGTCAGTATTAAAAACGAATTAATGTTTCCAGAAATATGATTGTTGGGTAATTTTGCATAAAAGAGAGCGGATTGTAAAGTCTGGGGAAAACGGAAGAGGAATTAAAAACAATGGAGGCGATTGTAACGGTGTTTGTTAATTCCTAATTGACTAATGATCCCGTGAACTTTGAGGTACTTTGAGGAACATTGAGGAAGAAGCGATCGGAAGAAGTTGTTTTGAGAATGAACGGTAATAGGAGAAGCGTGAAGAGTCCAGAAATGGTCTGTGCCACGAGGCCGATTGATCTGTCAACCCCGTTAGGGAAAAAGAGTTGATCGACATGAATGAACCATTCAAGGCCACCTAATGGAATTCCCACGATTGTCCTTAAGGCATAATGCGACGACCGTAGTGGGTATAATAGTACGAACAGCTGTCTGGCTGTGAGCACATCCACTCGGACACATACTATATAGGTGCACACGCGGTACGTGAATAACGCCTGTAAACAAACGAATGGCACCCGACATGTGTGGGTGCTTGATACGACGCGAGACACGTACGTGTGGAGACGCGAGTGTTCCATATAATGGCCATTGTTTCATTCTTCTCGCGAAGGAGATGCTGATGGAGGCAAAAAGCATTCCGGCATTTTCATTCAATAAAGTCAACGCTATTCTGATGTGCGGGCGCCATTTCTTCCGTCTTCAACGATTGCTTACGTTCGCTTCGTCTACTGACCTCTTTCAACTTCTGCAAGCTCATCAAGTCTATATTAAGCTGAATTCTAATTGATAAACATTTTTCGACTTTCGATATCAAGTTTCGAGTCGACTCTCATTGTTTACTCTCTTTACCATTTGTGATATCAACAAAGGTCCCAATTTTTAATTTTTTCATCTCTAAAAAAGGGTAACTGCTTCCGGACAGCATATAAGCACTTTCCCTTTTCGAAAATTCAGAAAAGATAAACCAACTTCCGAACAAATGAACCTAATTCTTAGGCAACTTTGCATAAATAAGTATATAACTGACATAACTGGATTATTATATTATATATGAATTTCTAATCAGGGTGCATAATAAAATTGACACTGTCATCGAATTGGGGTCAGTAAAAGAGAGCAAACCGCAAGAACTTTTCCAGGAACAAAATGACGGCAATGCAGTAAAGTATGAAACAAGGAATAATAACTCGGAATTAGCGACGCGTCAGTGGGTCATGGCTAATGAATCGGCGACAGCAATAATATCGACGCGCGACCACCGCAGTTACATGCCATGAAACAATCTTTTATACAACTTTATTCCATTCGACAAAATAATTAAGTTCTAAAAATTAGGGGATTTACCTAAAAGATTATATGTGACGCTGCGCGCGCATCAGAGGTTGAACATCCGAAATGTGACACTATTTTTTTTATTGTTCAAAAGTAAATTATTATTCTAACAATTATTAAATTATTATTCTTTAAGTATTATTATTAAATATTTTATAAAGATAGTACTCAATTTTGATTTTTGTGAAAGCTAAGACGATAGTTGTCAAGATTTCCAAAGTTGTAATTTCTCGATTCTAAGCTATTGTAGAAGGAGCTTGATGCTGCATTTTCTAAAATTGATTGCAATCGTAAAACCGCAAGTGCATCTATTTTGCCAATTATCATCAAATTTCATGTTTCACGTTCCGTTAGCGTAATACATATAATATTACTAACTGGGGTACTATTAACACAAGTACTTTTTGTTGTAAATTTAATTTATAGGATGATATATAAAACTTATACTGCTATTATCTTTTTAAATTTATTAACTTATTTACCTACTGTTATTAATAATAGTATAAAATGGTGTCAAAAATTAACCGCGTCTAGTTTAGGAAAAATGGGCTATTATTCAAAAAATAAATACAGAGAAAATTAAAATTTTGGTAGAATTTTCCATGAATTTTCATAGATTAAATTATTTACAATTAAATGAAATGTGACGTTCTTTGAAGAAAGGTACCTTAGAGGCAAAAGATTTGAGGTTATGTTTATAAATGTTGAAATGAAAATATAACAAACATAACCTTAAAATTCTTTGCTTCTCAGGTACCTTTCTTCAGAGTACCTTTCTTCAGCGTTACAAGTATAATTGTAAATAAATAATCAAGAATGATTTTTACATTTTTTTAAATCATTTTTGATTAAATATTTTAAAGATTCTATTAATATTTCTTTGGATATTTAGAATCAGAAGTGGATTTTCCAAATAATCTCAATTCCCACGCTTTCCTTAATGTAAGAATAAAAAAAACCCCAATAATCTCAAGGTTTGTCAATAGGCCTCGAAGACATTGCGGTGAACGAGGTGAATTTACAACTTTCCTGACCATGAAAATGCGACTTTTCAATAGCGAAGAGCGAATTGACAAAAAAAAGTTTAGAATCGAGCAAATTTTTGCCCTTTCGAATCTTTCAAAAATTGTCTACATTGTGTAATGATTTTATTAAAAAAATAATTTTACGATGACCAAATGTGTCATAAAATTTTTTTTACAGATTTGGAAAATCTTGAACAGTGTTCAGAGGGGAAAAAAAATTTATATTCCCTGACACGCATTTGCTTGCAAACGAGCTGGTAAGTTTTGTTGAAAATGAAACTCTGTTTCCACGCAAAAGCCATAAACTTCGAAGCAATAAATTGTGTTGAGCCGCGTGTTTCTAAGTGCGGAGTCTGCGAGAAGAAAGCGACGTGCCAGTGTATATATACACACATGTCGAGACGTATTTTATTCAAATAATCAGGTATCGAACACACCCTGGCACGTTATTAGCCAAGTGTAGGTTGAGAGTGGCAGCTTGCGAGAGAGCCCGGGGAACTGTAATTTTATAGTCCCCTGATTAAACTTTTAAATCGAATGACCAACGCGGCGGCTCAGTTGGTAAGCGGAAATGACGACCTCAGCCAGTCACCTTTGCACTACTAGCAACGCTCCGTCGCTCTTGGTCGCTCTCGAGATTTGAGAACACGAAGAAAGCGCATCCCGAAAAAAACACACCATTCCTTGGTTTACGCCAGCGGAACGGCCCCTTCCCCCACCCCTCTCTCTGGGTTTATGACCCCAACCAAATCCATTACATTCGACTTCCGCTTTCACCCGGGGCATCCCAAAAGTCACGGGATTTACTTGCAAGATAAAGATATATAGGTCTCATTTTCGACTCTTCGCCCCATGAATATTTCATTTCCCGGCACTTATTTCCCGGTCCGGTCGGTCAATTGCTTTTTCCTTCTGCGTACGGTGCGTACGAGTTTCAATTATTGCACTGAAAAATTTAATTTCTTGATAAAAATTTCCAAAAAGCTAAACTAAGGTTTTATAAAATGTTGTATTCATAAAATAATTCAATTATTTTAAAAAATAGAATAAAATTCGTTAGAAGAATTTAATTATTTTTATAAATAATAAAATTCATAAGAGGATTTTGATAATTTATAATAAAATTTTAAATGAATTCCTCGAAAAATGTAATTATTTTGCAAACTTTTTTTTTATTCTTCAAAACAAATCAATTATTTTCAAAAGTTTTTGGAAAATTTTTGGCAATAGTTTAATTATTTTTACAAATATAATGGGATTCTTCGTTGAAAGTCAAATATTTTTAATATCTACTATTTCAATAAAATTTTCCAAAAGAATTCAATTATTTAAAAACAAATTAATAAAATTCTTCTCAAAATTCAATCATTTTTAATAAAATTTTGAATTAATTTCTCAAAGAATGTAATAATTATTTTTAAAAGTTTTATTAAAATTCTTCGAATGAAATCAATTGTTTTCAAAAATTTTGATAAAATTCTTTATAAATATTAAATTTTAAGAAATAATTTTGAGAACAATAAAAATTAATATTTTCTAAGATTCAATAGACGTTCTTTTACTATAAAAAATTTAAAACTTCGGGGGATCGAACCGTAAACGCACGACCAGACTTTATACCAAAACCTAATTTAAGCTCTTAAACGACTCTGACTAATAAATTTTTTTTACAATCTAAATTTTTTTCTAATTTTCCAATTTTAAGATTTAAGAAAATTAAAAAGGAGTGAAAAATGTTGATTAGTTTTGATGTTTATTTTTAAAAAATAATTTTTAAGCTTATAGTTATACGAAATGGAATTAAAAATATAGGGGATTAAAAGTTTAACTCTCCAAATTTTACTCTTTTTGCCTCAAATTTAAATAATTATGCCGAATTTAAAAAAAACACGCATATTTTAAGTTTTTTAAAGAAAAAATGTTTTGGTAAAATTTTAGCAACTTTTTTGGTGTCAAATATAAAGTTTCTATAAAAAAATAGTTTAACATTCTCCTATTACTCACAGTAATAAATTAAAAAAAAATTAAACAGGAGAAATGTGTTCGTTTTTTCACATAATTATAATAACAAGTAAAAATAGAAGTGTAAAAAAGCAGATACGTATCAATTATCAAAAGAAACGTCTCCTTCCCAGAATTATTGACGTTTGTACTACATGCAATCCTTACTTGCAAATCAAGTTCATTTGTTCATTGTTTGGATTTATGACATCTTGAGAACATTCAATGGAACAATCTGTTTGGCATCAACTTCTCGGAAAGCTTTTTAAAAAGTCAATAAAAAAAAATTTTTTTCTCCTAAACGAAAAGTATTAAAAAAAAAAATTAAGAGAAATGTGGAAAAGAAGAAAAATAAATATTTACAAAAATGAGAAATAAAAAAAAATTACAAACATAAAAAAAGTAGTAAAAGTAAAAAAATATAGATAAAAGTTACGCGATACAAAGTAAAAGTAAAAAGAAAAGTGGTACTTTATTATAGGAAAATAATAACTTAATCTTCAAACGCAGGAGATAAAAATAAATAAAAAGGCGCATGAAATAAATATGGAGAAAAAAAAGGTTGCTAATTATAGAAATTTAATAACTTAATCGCTTGGAGAATTTGTATTAGGTATATATTAAAAAAGTAAAAAATTGATGAAAATACGCAGAAAAATTTTATAAAGTTCAATAAAAACTATTTGGCAAATTTCAAGTCAAGAAGAAAGAAAACAGAAATTTTTGATCCAGTTGAAAGATATTTTTCAAAGGAAAAAAAAGGAAATTTAGAAAATTATTTAGAAATTAAAAAGTGTAAGAAAACGTTCGAAATTTTTTATAGTAATTTTTTCAATTTTCGATAAGTCATATAAGGAGATGTAAGATAATCTTTGTCTAAAATATAGGTTAGATGCGACGGTTTCAATTATGTTTAGAAAAAATGTTCAACTGGATATAGGTATAAGTGCCATATTCGACGATACGCTTGGCGTTTCAAGCGACGGCCGTGATCACAGTATGGAACGGAGCGGAACGATAATCGTGACATCGTACAACGCTTGTCAAGAAGAATTATACATATCACGAAAAAATTCCATTTTCCCCTAAATACTTTGCATTTAATGCTTTAAAATGTTCTCAAGCTCTACTATTACTTTCATTCTGATTTAATCTCTCGCTGATTTGTCACTAATTTGCGAAAAGGAAAAAAAAATTCATTTTATTTTTTTTTTATTATATTTTTTCTCATTGTAAACAAACATTAATGTTTGAGTTTTTTTTAAAGATTTTATAAGTTAAATTTTTAAATTTATGTTGATTTTAAAATCTTTAGACTTGTATTTTAAATTTAAATTAGCATAATGGTAGGTTTACTTCATAACTTGAAGGTTAAGATCCGAAACTGTTGATAATTAATAGAATAATTATTATTTGAATTCTCCCGCGCGTCTTGAGTTTCTTGAGGGTGGCGCGCAGGGCAGTGAGACAAGCAGACTACTCTGAACACTAGGCCAACGACTAGCTTTCTGGTATTATTTTAGTAATGATATTAATTTATCAGAAAAATTTTATTTTATATTTCCCTTGCTTTTTTGAAAAAGATATTAAAGAACAAACCTACCAGCAGATAGAGACTCTCGCGAAGTTGACTATGGAAAAAGTATCTTTATTAATAAGTGAGCGTATAGGCACAAGTGAAATATTGATTGAAGGAAATTCATAACTCGCAAATATCAATATTATCCATATATTGTTGAATTTGCGTGGGAGTATAAAAGCAGGGAAACGTCGCGTATTCATACTGGCAAAAGAGTAACGAGGGGTTAAGAGAGAAACGCGCATCACCTTACGGAGGACTTGCGTGGATCGCGAAGTTGGCGATTGGCGATTACACTAACCAAACACCGGGGTACGCCCCTGCAATTTGCCCCGAGATCATCTTTCCCCTAATCGCCGCGCTAATAACAGGATTACGGGGCCTGACCGCGGAATCGTAGGTACACATATACTTATCCCTAATTTGCCATATCGTTATTAATATGCAATGCGATATAATACAATTCCGACGGCTCAGGTCGCGATAAGCCTCCGGCCACACTCGATTTTACACAATTATTTTCAAGTACTGCGAGATTTATTCCCCATATACTATCTTTACGTCAGTTTTCAATGTAAATTGAAATTTTCGATTATTTTATCCCTCCTCTTCACTCCTTCTCTCTTGCTCTCTACTTTCATTCAAATTGGATCGCTCTCTATTTTTTATTTCAACAAATTTTTTCATTCCTTAGCCCTATTTAAGATTAACGAATACGCGATGTCAGTTTTTCAAAATTCAAAATGGTGGATCCAAGTTGAAAGGGATTAGGATTCACTATCTAGTGACTTTCTGGTTTTTTAAAATTTGACCACTTTCGCGTAGGAAAACAAATTACATTTATCGGAGCAGAAGAAAATTAAAAATTAAAACTCACGTATAATGAGAGTAAGAAGGACTGGGCTGATTGAGGTGGGAGGCAGTTGAGAGGCCCTGAATTGGGTCCCTAGCTGGGGAATTTTGAGCCGCCGCTCCTCCCGGTACAGCGTGATGATAGCGCTGGCACATTTCGGCCAAGTTCCATCCATGGGCATCCATATATTAGCACTGCTTCTCTCTCCTTCTTTGGTACACCATCCATTTCAATCGTGAGGCACTCCCTGATCCACTTTGTTTTTTTCTTCTCTTTCTTTCGTTTTTTTGTTTACGCGCACACTATTCACGAAATTAGAAAATCTTCACGCACAAATCACTCCAAAAACATCCTCAAGCACCTTGAAGTCAAATTCAGTCCACACAAGTTCCTCATTGTTTCCTGGAATTAAATTCAATTTTATTTAATTTATTTATTCAGAAATATCATTTTTATTACTATTTGTATTTGTTTAATAATTTATTATAATAATTTATTAATAAGAAATGGCGTCTAGTTTAAAAGAAAGAGACGCAAATATATATCTCCTTTTCTAACTCATGCTTTGAGTTCGCGAAACTATTGTGCGTTGGCCTTAAGCTGCTTTAAATGAAAATAGGGGATTCCTCAAATGAAGGCTAGTCTAGATTTATTTCGGTCTTGTATTGTGAACCAAGCTTTAATTATGACAAAAATAATTAACTCTATACTAATTTTAATTAACTTAATAAAACTATATTTGTGACGTGCTTCCAAGAAAGGGACCTAAGAAACAAACGAATTGTAGGTTAGGTTCGTGTTAGATTTATCTTGATGATCTTGATTAAAATTTTATTTTTAATTATTTGAATTTGAAACCAATTTTCATTGAATATTTTGGATATAATCAAGACTTGAAGTTCAATAATTTTTAATTAATAATTGATTCTCTTTCTATATTTTCACTCAAAAAATTAAAAACATAACCTCAAATTTGTTGCTTCTTACGTACTTTTCTTCAGCTCATTGACAATCGCAAACATATTTTTAATTACATCAAGAAAATAATTTAAATATTCTATAAAATAATTTTTAAAGTAATTTTTCGTGAAAAATTCAATAGTCAGAAAATAAAATCGGTTAGAAAATATTGTAACCTTTTTTTTCTCGTTGAAGAAAGTAGTATTTTTGAATTTCTCACAAAGTTTTCTGATGATCAGTTTTAATAGCGATTATTATTATTAATCTTTATATTTAATGATTGGTATACAGTAATTGTATTTTTTGTGTGTGCGGTTAATTTTCTGAGGATTGCAAAGGTTCAAAAAGGGTCAAAGATAAAATAATAGAGGACTTCTGAATTACATGACGATAGACTACATTCCAATATCGTTCAGATGTTAGATAAAGTTCGTAATATATAATTTAAAAATATACTTTTATACCCCGAACTTTATTTACCGCAGAAAATTTAATCTAAATGAACAATTTTAATGAAAATTAAATCCATATAAAATTTTCAAGTAATTAAGATGAAAAATATAATAATACATAATAAATAATAATAATAAAATAAATTAATAATAAAAAATTAGAATTTAATTCCAAACTAAAAATATAGATAAACTTGTTTTACTGTTTTAAAAAAACAGGCGTTAATTTTTAGTGTTCATATGACAGTAAATGTAACACTATTAACTTTTTATTAAAAGTATGTAAGATGAAGTATTTATTGATTAAATGTCGAATTAAAATCGAATAATTCATGAAATTTACTCATGTAATAATAGTTGAGATAATTGAAAAATTAAACAAAGAATGCCACTCATTTTGATTGGAGGAGACGAATGAAAAAAAAATCTTTCGAAAGACATATTTCTGTTGTTTATACGAATCGACATGACTTGAAAAATCCTTCTGACGTTAATGACTAAGTTGTTCCCACCCAACGAGCAAGCGTCGTGTGCATTAAATTAAAATCAATTCCGGATAGCTATATTTACAATATCAATCATTTTCATCAATTATGCAGCAAATTTACACGATTTTTTTTTTATTTTTATTAAAATTATCTTAGAAAAACAAAGACAAAAAACAAATAACAAGAGAAAATGTTTTGAAACATGTTCGTTAAACAAAAGAAATTCTCTTAGTGCCACTTTGCAATAAAATAAGAAATATTAATGTTTTAATTGCCATTAGATGAAAAAAAATGTGTATGGACATTGAAAGAGTGATAATAATTAAATGAGTAAAAAAATATCAATGTTGCAGAGTAGAATTTTTCCAAGCTTTACGTTATGTGACACCCGACATTCCAGACTTTTATATGCATCCATCCATGTAATGGCATCCATCGTTCGACGGCAGTGTCTATCGCGTATCGATCTGGCATCGTGATTATTATTGCGTTATGTCTTTGCCGCGATTGAGACCTCCTTTATTCTATGCACTCATGCTTTGGCTCCGCATTAACATACAAACAATAACACGCGGGAGCATAATGTACATGTGGACTACTGTGATTAAAATTAACAGAGATCATTTTTTATTATTGTTCAGAAATCAGTTTTTAAGAGCTTTTTTTGAATTGCTTGCAAAAACTGCTGCGCACGTGCAGACTCTGTGCGACTGTAGTGCGCAGGTCCGCAAATTTTTCGTGGAAGGGACAACTCATATCGAATGTAGCATTGTAGAATTGGCCTAATGTATCAATTTTGGACTTCCCCCATAGACTTTGGCACCCCCCCCCCACAATTGTCCACGTGGACATTTTTAGGTTTTGGTTTCTAAAAAAGTAAAAGTAACTTTCAACAACAAATGAAAGTGAAGAAACATTCATGATTCTAAAAAAATTCTGAGTACCTCCGTGTTTTGAAAAAAGCTCTTTTTTAAAAAAAACTTCCAATTTGGTGAAGACTTGATAACCAACACTAAAAAATGTTAAAACAAATTGTCAAGACTAGCGTCTTTTTTTCAAGATTCAAATTTTTTTTGAATCGGAAATAAATTCTAAAAAAAATCTGAGTACCTAGGTGTTTCGGAAAAATCTCTTCTTTAATATAAAAAAAGCTCCAAATTGATGAAAAAAGCCCAAATTTCTAGGGGGTACTTCCATGGAATTTTTTGACGTGGATATAATGAAGTATAGACTTCTATTATTAATTTTAAAAATTGCTGCAAGAAAATAATTTTGCGAAACAGATTTAACGTCAAAAATGCCCTCGAACGGCATTGATTGAAGAAAAACAGAAACGTGATCTTATGTATGAAAAAAAAAAACAATAGTTAAAAACATCATGGTCATAGAACCCGTTAGTTGTGAACAGTGAAATAAAACGATTTATATAGTTAAAATAACATTTTGATGTAAACCAGAATAACATTGCAGATGAAATTTGTAAATGCATGCATTTACTGAAGATGAAATTTGAAAAAGAAGATCACATTTTTGCTAAAAATCACACATGCGAAAAATAATGGAGTTCGAAAAAGACTCTATAATGTAAAAGTTTTTCAGATTATAATTTGAATTATTATTCCCCTATGTAAAGATTGAGATAAAGATAGGGTATTGAAATACGATCTAAATGGTATCCGACACTGCGGATAAAAGTTAAGCGTGCTGGTTTGTATATAGTGTAGAGCGTTGGTAATGCTACATATATGTGCTACCATTCAGCTCGCTCGGCTTATCTCGGTCTTATAGGAGCGTTTTCCATGGGTGATCGACGATGAAACACGAGCGATCGATGAAAAACGAGGTAAGTGCCAATTCCTTCACTCGCAATATAATTACGATGTATGAGAAATATTAACTTCATTTCAATCGGAGAAGAGTTTCTCTAAATGGAGGAAAATTTATAGTAATTATTCTTTTCCTTTATTTTAATTTTCCCAGTGATTTATTTCACAAACCATAAAGTTTCATGGTAAAAGCCGTAAAAATCATATGGTCAAAGATTTTTAGGGTGTAATTTATGTATTTACGGAAGTAAATGCAGTTTTTAATTTTAAAGGGGTCAAAATAAAGGTGGGCCTACCTTTAAATTAATCTCTTATTTTTATAAACGTTACGGAATTAAGCCGTTTGTTCGGTTGTTTATGTTAATGTTTCTTTTAGCTTATTGAATGTTTCGTAGGTACAAATAAATAATTTGTTTGTTTGAACCAACAAAATCTTTGGTTACCAGCAATGCAATTATTTTGCTATCAAGAATTCGGTTGTTTCGAATAAAATTTTCTCTTAGTGGATGGAACTCTAAATTACTATATCTTATAAGCATAAATTTGGAGATGTTAGATCAATTTGGCGATTAATTGTTATAGCAACAATTCTAGGTGCCATTTCAGTATATGAATGGATTCTTGATAATTCGTAATCTTAGGATCCTTGTACCGATCCAATGAGTTTAATGACTATTTTCAAGCAACATTTCAATAGAATTCAGGAGCAATTCCAAAAGCGATTCTAAAATACACTGTAGGAGCAATCCAGGAATAAATTCTCAAACATAAAGATTAGAAAATCGAAGACCCTTATTTTTGATCGAAGGCAATATTGATGTCGACATTCTGACATGGACATGAACAAGATGGAAACAGTTTCTCCAGAGAGTTGACGTGTGGATTATGTTCTCCTCTACTCAAATTTGCCGTAACAAACGTAGATAACCCAGAAAAGAAGTGACTGTGAAAAAGTTATATATTCATTATTCAGAAAGCATCGGCGTGAAGAAGCAGCAACTCTAATTTTGTGAAAGTAAAATCTTCGGATTAATGTCTGTTCAAAGAACACAAAACACTACGCAACTCAGTTTAGCTCAATATTTTCGGTTCGTAATCCGAAATATTGAGCTAAACTGAGTTTCAAAAATATTGAGCTTATACGGGTACTTTTTCAAATTTCTGCATTCACAGCAAAGGTCAAGTCTCCCTTGAGCTTGAATGAATTTTACGGGTGAAAAAAATTCACGTATAAGTCTCGGATCGACACTAATTGGGGACGTCGCTGAAGATTTTCCCCTTTCGAAAAGTCATCGCCTATCTCGGCGCTTACTTAGCACGCCCACGATGCCTCGTCTCTCCTTTTATAAGATCGACTTAACAGAGAGAGAGAGAGAGAGAGAGAGAGAGAGAGAGAGAGAGAGAGAGAGAGAGACGGAGAGAATTTCTCGCTTATTATCCGTTCCTTCGATTTCTCGCAAAAATCTCAACAGCGTCTTCGTGTAAGTTCCACGAGTGACTCATGCACAATGGGCCTCGCAACAAGCGCAAGCGACGCGTGATTTACAGCTCATTACCGATTTCATACGTGACATTACATCGAGCGATCTGCAATAAGGCTCTTCACATGAGAGAGAGAGAGAAAGAGTCCTCTCATAGATATGCCCGTGAGGGATGATGATCGCTGTGTGACTGAC